CAGGAAAGCAAGTTTGCATTGAGCTCCATCAGCCTTTTCATGGTTACATCTTTAATTTAGCTAAGTGGGACCTATTTCTATCAGCAAAGCATATTTTCGGCATGCAAAAAGAAACCATAGGTTAATGTGAATTTCCTGGAACTTTTAAAATAAATAGTAAAACTTGCCCGTAATTTGATTCCTTTCAAAATAATTCATTATAATGAATACTTTATTGAAAAACAGAAGCCAGTAAACTCACTGGTTTTCAAATCAAATAGTAAATTTTCTGTAATTGTGACTCTCAGTAACTAATGTGTTTAGCCTGTCGTGTGCTCCAAGATGTCCACGGAGTTCTGTCAGCTCCATGGGGAACTGACAGAAGAATCATGCCATATAACATTTCCAGATGGACAGCTCTGTCCTCATTCCAGGACATTATGCTAATATTAGAACATTTATGATATATCTTTGGCCAGGATTTCCCAGCCCAAGTCATACACAGTTGTCCTAAAAGTACTCAGGAATCAATCTGTCTATGAGATTGATAAGTAAAGTAAAAATAACACTGACAGGAGAAAGAGACGTGACCAGAAATATGACCCTAGGGAAGAAAGACGGTGTATTCATGCCACCAACAATTGTCAAGAGGTTACTCTTTTGGAGTAATCTTAACAGCTCTTGGAATGTTTCTACCAATGCACAGAAGCTGAATAGATGGTGCTATAGGAACCATAGCTGATGTCTCACTACTATATCTTTCCCATTTCATTATTCCTCAAGTCCCATGTTCTACCTTGCTCCACTTTGAATAAGGGAGATACCAAACTGAACTTGAGAGTGAAAAGACAGAAAAACAGCCTGGCAACTCTAAAAACTTTCAGATGAATGCAGAGTTAAAATGAAGCTGTTACCTCCCTAAAAGTCATAAGAATGTTATGAAATTATGTACATGTCAAGAGATTCCAGCTACGACTGGAACACGAACATCTGCCGTGCTGTCCAAAACCAGACTTACTCGCAGCACTGTACAGTCTAAATAAAGACAGGCAAAGAGTTGAGGTAATCTGGGCTCTTCTACTTCTCTAACAGATCACGTACAGATCCACTGGCTGGGATTTCACTGTTCAGGCAGTAGAGATAAGTCCTTATGCTGCAGGAACTGAGATATCACCCAGATTCTTCCTGCACTGAACCACTCCCATGAAAGATCCTGTTTTTCACTCACAGGGATCAGTCCTCCACAGACAGCAGGAGGAATAGGTGACTGGATGCATTTTGCCTTGCTGTGGGTTGCATTTACATCACTTGGATTACTCACTCCTCAGCCGCTCCCATTACTCTCCTCTGGCTTTTAGTTCAGTAGCACTCAGTGACGGTGAGTGTCACCAGACTGATAGCGGGAGTCCAACTGAACTAAGTAAAGTAAAAATAACACTGACAGGAGAAAGAGAAGTGGCCAGAAATATGACCCTAGGGAAGAAAGACACTCTTAATTTCTGGAAATGAACCTAACTGGCTTGCAAGGATAAGATACCTTTTTTAGGGTATTGTTCTCAAGGACACTTTTGCCAAAGCATCAGGTGCATGCAGATCCATGACGAACTCTGTTTTATCTACATAAAGGCATGCTTAGGCACAGGTCTTGTTCAGTAGATTGCACGTTCAGCATGCAGTTTGTTCCTCTAGAGCTGTCAGGGTGTCCTGTGAAATCACAGTGAGTTATTTGCCAAAGTAATGAAAATACAGGCACGTTCACTTGCGACAAGGAAAGAAGTAAAGGAAATTTGCTTTGACCCTCTAAAGGATACTAATAACTTGCTACAGCCTTCTGTTTCAGCCAAAGCTATTAAACACTATCAACTCTTGTTCC